CCCCAAAACCCCAAAACCCCAAAACCCCGCAAGACAATTCGAAGTTGAAATTCTGAGTAAATATTGTAATATTTTATATTTAAATCAATGGACTACTAGAGTTACAATCAATTCGAATACTCGAACAACTTTTAACCCTTGCAGGTACAAACCATACAAACTCTTAACTTTATAATCAATTCTTATGTAGACTAATTGTTTGGAGAAAAGCCTCTCTGAAGATGATCTATGTTCTTCAATCTTAGCTAAGTTTGAGAGGATGAGATTGGACGATGCATCAACTTCAGAAAGTGAAGATGAAAGCAAGAATAGAGAGTAGTTATTGAAAGAACTTGTGTCTTAGGAGATCCAAATGTATGAGGACTACTAGATGGAAACCCAAGAGTAAAAGGATTTAAAGCTAAACAACATTATGCAGAAGTAAGTATAAAACTCATCTACTTCAGCTTTTAATTCTGATAGTTATAAATAATTCTCTATAGACTAATGATGCGATACTATCTCAACTTAATGTTGAAGACTGAGAAACTCAACCAAAGATACATGTATAACATAATGAAGAGCAATAACCAAATGAGGAATCAGTGAAAATGATGATAAAAGTAAACGATAAAATTGCTTTTCGGTGTAGGACTATACTTTACAGATGTAAATGTTCAGGATTAATATCTTAGCATCTAGGTCTCATTAAAACAATTAAAGTGATTTATTGATGATAATTAAACTATATTAATTTCATTATTAAGCAGATATAATAATTGTATTGGAGTAAGATAAATCAACCAACGATATATTCCTTCTTTATAAATCCTCCATTAACTTTAACTTCGACTCATTTGAATTTTAATTGACCCAACTACTGTTGATTACGCATCCTCCCCAGTTAAACATTACTCGATCATCTGACATAGCTACATTGTGCGATTCACCTGAATATATTTCCCTTACTTTAAAATCTTTTAGGATTTTCTCTGGAGCGTTAGCTCTTCTGCCTGAAATTGCACATTAATCTTCACTATTATCTCCCATTGCATATATATTTCCTTAAGAATCTAGAGCTAATGAATGTCTTGCGCCACAAGAAATTCTACTAATAGCCATCCTTTCGAAAAATGGCAATTGAATGGGAAATTCCACTGGCAAATCCTCTAACGCTCCTAATTCACCATAGGTTCCATCTCCCCAGCCATATAATCCTAATTCTTCTGTTAAAACTAAGCCATGCCTTTTCCCTAAGGCAACCTGTTTTATTTTAGCATTGAATGCATAGAATAATTTTGGTTTTCTCAATCATAAATTTCCAGTGTTTTCCCCCCAAATGTACATTCTATTTCGAGAGTCCACAGCTATATTCGAATTATATCTCGAATAAATGAACTGCAGATCCTCATAGTTCTTCATCATTTTAGGGATAACAATTTCAACTGGAATATTTGTTGTAGTAACGCCATCGATTCCAATTCCGTTTTCTAATCCAAATGCTAAAATTTTTCTTTCTTGAGATTTAGCTTATCTGACGAGCAAAACATTATGATTTTTTCCAGCTACTATTTACTCGACATACTATATTTAGTTTAATTATTGCGATTCAAATACATCATTGTTCTTCTTGCCAGTTAAATTCAAACCTTTAATATTCAATAATCTCAGTTGCTCAACAAAAATGGAATAATCATCCTCTGCTTAACTCATTGAAAAACCTAATTATCCGAATTCATTCGATCCTACACCAAGCAGCTACCCATCAGCCAAAAGCATGATACAATGCGCTTCTCCAATTGCTATCTAAGTTATCTATCTTCCTGCTTTGGTAATTTAAGGAGGTATCCTTTAAAGATGTAAATAACTTGATAAGAGGCCATAGCAAAAAATCAGGCACTCTCCAGGCTTATTTATACCCATGCTTTAATCAAGAACACTTTATTAATGTTGTTGGTCCTTTGGTACTATATTGTCTAAATGAGTTAAATATACCTGATAAGATTGTACTTGAATCAGGAAGAATACGCTTGTACCTATTAGATCACTGAGGTAAATTATCGTTGTTTGAGGGCATGCAGCAGCATAAAAGTTTTTGAAAGAAACTCATTAATGTAGTTAAAATATAAATAATTAAATATATTAATCATCTATTCATCAATCCACTAACCTAATGCCCCAAAATCCAATAAACTACCAATTTTTAGCTGATCTCAGAATTGATACCCTCAATTACCAAGGATCAATTTATTTTGTTCCTCCTCAGTTAGATTCTCGAACTTCTTCTCCTCAGCCATGATTTCAACCTAGTGTTCAGACTTTAATGCTTGCATCAAAGGTCTTTCCTTACCACCATCTTTCTTTTATTTCATGAACATTCTTTCATAGTCAATATCTGCTACTGTACCAAGCATATCTTCTGCTTCTCTTCTCTCTTCATCATTACGAACTCTCTTATCAATATTAATTCTCCATAGCTTTTCACTGCCAAGGACTAGTGAACCAATCTTTTGGCAGTCTGTGTTCCAAATATATACATTGCAATCAAAGGAGCAGGACGCGATACAGTCAAGTTCATGAACATAACTGATCCAATTAATGCAGTCTGTATGAGCACTCCATCTGTTAAGCATTTTCACATCTAAGTCATTAAATTCTATCTTTCCTTTCAATGATCCTGTGCCACCTGCATCTACACCAGTCACGAAAGTAGAGCCAATATCTGAAAAAGTCTTCTTAGTTTATTAAATTTATGATATTGGTTCATCTGAACCATCTCCCTTAAAAGAAGCGGCCTTTTATTCTCTTTTCTAGACTTCATCAAGTTTTCTTAGAAGTTGATTTAAATCCCATTTCTGCATGTATCCCATCTCATCTCCTGTAAAAAGAATATTATCTTTAGGACTAAAATCCATTGCTCTGATAGGGTAGTTTACAAGAGTGCCAACTTAAGAAGTATTGTCATCCTTAACTCTACAGAGATGGTCGTTTTTACGAGGATTAGGTGTAACTGCCCAGAAATGCAAGAAGCCATCTAAATCTGCTGAGACTAAGCAGTCATGAGGTATGAGGAACTTGCACACTTTAACTTCAGCTAGGTGAGCTGTTGGATCATTCGGGTCGATCGGACTCTTTAATATGCCCTCTTATCTATAGGAGCCATAGTTGTAGATAACTACAGTTCCATCATCAGAACATGAGGCACATAATTAATGAGAAGGCTTGAAATCGATGAAGTTCACACTATCTTTATGTTTCTTCATTGTGTATCTCTTTGTGCCTTCTTACTCACTAGTACTGTCATCGTAAAGTCTCACTTTTCCATCCCATGAAGCTGATATCAAAATATTTCTCTTATCACCCCAATAGTAGAGACAACTTATATCATCTTTATCTTTTTTATTTTTCTTTGATTTCTTAAACTTCTTCATTTTAGCTCCATTCTTGATGTTTATAGAAAAAAGTCTACCTTTCTAATCTCCGACAAAAAGCTTTCTTTTTCTTTCATCTAAAGCAATGCAAGTGATTTCTTTTGTAGTTAAATCTCTAAAAACACTTTGCAATTCTCCATTAGTTGCATCCCATACTTTGATGCATTTGGGATGGGCAGTAATGAATGTATAAAATACAGGATTATAAAGTACACATAAGCAAGCCTAATCATCAGCCAAATGATGGTCTGTTGGTTCATCATAGTCATAGAAGACTAATCTTCTTCCTCCTGCCACAATTCTTTTTGGGGGCCATGTGACAGCGAAACAACTGATCTCATTTAAGGGACAGTTGAATGTTTACACTGTTGTGAATGTTCTGATATCCCAAATTCTGAACATACCTGAAATATCAGCAGAAATAATCTGATTTGATTTAGGAAGCCATTTAACTCCTACTAGTGAATGATTATGACCTTTCAATAAGAAAATCTTCTTCTTTACGTAAGGGTTCCATATGTAAATATCGTGATCCAAACCTGCACTAAGCAATAGATGTTGCTCATCATACCAATCTAATGAGTAAATACCTAGCTAATGACCAACTAAACTGTGTTTTGGCTCTAAATCTTTCAAAGACCAAAGACAAATTTAGGCATCAAGACCAGCAGAAGCCAGAATTTGCTATCCTGGAATAGGAAGTAAATCCATAATTGGGCCATCATGACCTATTTTATCTTTTTTTAATGGATTCCAGCCATCCTTTACTCCTATTTCTTTCAGTTTTTGAACATCATAAGCGTGAATGACTGCATCGCAACCTCCTGTAAATAGTCTATTGAAGGGTTCTCCGCACCACTTGACTAAAAGAGTTATAACAATAGTAAAAAAATTACTTGTCATTTAGATTTCAGATGTATTTAATCTTTCTCTGAAAATATAGTTATTACTATCCCAGAAGTTTATTGAGTTATTGTTTGATGTAGTAGCGACAAATTTAATGTTGTTCATTTCAATATAGTCTGCTGCAATAACTGCACCTCCGCTACCAGCATTTTTTTCTAAATTGCATTATCAATAATTTAACTTACCTGGAACATTTTAGATCCATTTACCGGTCCTTGCGTTGTAGACTTTGAATCTTTTACTATCTCTTTCCATTACAAGCAAGTGTCTTAACTTCTCAATATAGTACATATGCTCTACTTCAGTATCATGCTTTTCTGTATCCTTGATGTCACTTGCATAATAACTCTTTATTGCATCTATGAAAGTCCTATCCTTCCGTACCATACCTAAAGATAATCATTAACCCGCTAAAATATACCTAGTTCAATAATATGATTCGTGAATTCCTCCCACTCCAAAGTTTAGTCATTATTAACATCAATTTGCCTGAAAAGCTCTATCAAATTTTTGCAAAGACCAGCTTTGTCTTTTGTTTCGGGAAGGTGATGCAGCATAACCTTAATAAATTGCTCAATTGAGAGTCCTTAATCTTCATTTTTCATGAAATCTTTCTTGATCTCCTCTAGCTTTCTATAGTTCAGATGACTCATAATGTCATTATCATCATCGTCAAAATTCTTATCCTTCTCTGTAAAAGTAATGAGATCGTGAAAATTAATGTAGTTATGTAAATTTACCCTCCTCCTGAGCCTGATTTAAAGCGTCACGGTTTTCCCATGTTTTAACTACACTATGCATCTTTAAATTTTTAATTTTATCAAGCTTACTTGATTTTATAATAACTTTAAATTTAAATAAACAAATTATGAATTGGGGAAGCAGCTAGTTAACATCAAAATAGTAGCCTATACCATCATCCTCTTCGAGTTTAAGTGACTGCTCTCAATTACCAAGCAAGTAGAATTAATTCAAAGATTTCCATCAGAGATAGCTCTTTTTACAATCTTGCGATAAATCAATTCAGCCGTTAAAGCCATTAAAAATGTCATTTAATAACGACATTAATTTGAAATAAGTAGATAGATAACCATTTGGAAGGATGAATGAACGATTAGTTGAAGAGCAATAAAAGACAAGTGGTATAGGTGGATATCAAAAGAAATGCTTCGAGCATACGAAATATAACGAGGTTAAAGGAATTATAAGCTATGATACTGCATTGTAATACAGAAAAGAAAATGTCCCAGAAAAAATAAATAAAGTAAAACATGACAATTATCACAAACCCTAGGAATATGTCGCTAGAAATATAACATATTGTAAAATTTTAAGATTAATTTTTTCTAGAAATGAATAAGGACAGAATGTTTGGAGTAAATTGGGTTTTGGGAGATGATAGTACAAAAAGATAATCTTCTAATAATAGAGGAGGCTCATTCAGAGGAAGTTTTTTGTGATTCTAATCTGATTAATATTGATTGATTGTTGTTAATTCATAAAGTCTGAGGAATATAAATAAACTTAAGTATTCATTTGATTGTGATCATGAAAATTAAAATTAACAAGTTACTTAAATTAATTACTTGCTCTTATTTGAAATTATAATTTAAAATGACTGATTAACCACTGTCAGGTATGAATTAACATTAGAGTAAGAGAATCATCTTGCCTCAAGACATCAAGTACAAAATACATTAACTCAGACCTAAATAAATTATGTTTCCAAGTGACTCATAGCAGAGTTTATACATTAATGATGAATACTCCTAGCAAAAAAACAGATTTTCTTCTGATAACAGAAAAAATAATACTAGTCAAAAGCAAAGAGTAAAGTTAGTCATGGTAATTTATTATTTAATTTACATTATTAAGGAGGAGAGAAGGAAAAAGCTGTTATTTAATGTTAATCCTGCAGTAAATGCTCCAGTTATCTAAAAAACTTTCTCAATGCATGAACTTAGGAGTTCAAATCTTACCGGCATGGCTAATAACAGAGCATAGTCTTAATCTAAGAATTTCAGAACAGTGAAAAATGTAAATTTTAAAAATCCTTATTTATGCTTCTAATTTAGTATACATAAAATTTGGATTCAGATAGGGATAAATATTCTTACAAATAATTGATCAGGGAGTTACCTGATAAGCAGCAAACTGATCTACTACGAGAGATATAAAATTCTAAAATGGTTGGATATTCAAGAACAATGAATAAGAACTAACTTGGATCTTAAAGCCCTAGAAGCCCTGGCTAGAATTAGTTTCAATTCTTTTAAAGTGAGGAAGATTTGCATGAAGCTTACCAAAAGGCAGTGAGATGTAAGTCTTTTAGTTCAATTATATAAGCTAAAATATTTTTAGTTGATGGATTAAAATTATTGAGTCCCCCAATGTTGAACCTTGACAACATAAGTAGACCTATGACTTCTTAAGTGCTAAACACTTAAAATAGTGACTTCAAGTATACTATCTCAGACAAGTTATCACATCTAGAACCCTTTGAATTCCCAGAAGGACTCGTCTAAACTCAAGTAAGATAGCTAAAGCCAGAATAAACTATGAAATTGAGATAGCGAAATAAAATCTTTATGGATAGGCTTATTTCTGATAATAAAGCTGGAATACTCATGAAACTTTAATATGAAATCGTTGTTAAAAATCTGGAATAAATTTCTCATGAACTAGAGACAGGACATTAGATTAGAGAACAAAGAGTTAAGATGGTTGGAGATTTTAATAATATTTTAAAGAAATTCTTAAAAAAACTTGCTGAGAGATTCTGGGAAATGGAATAAAAATAAACCTAGTTGTAAAATGAAGCTATTCAAGCATAGCAGGAAAAAGATATATATCATGAATAGCTGAAGGCATTTTAGAATAGTGATTTTAACCCAGGAGAAAAAGTAAACTTGATTACTAAGATAAAAAAATTATAACATCAGTTATAAGAAGGCTAGTAAAGCTTACAGCTCCAGAGAGATATAACTTTTAAGAATTAAGCATTATCTTAGATTAAGTACAATAACTTTATTAATTCAACTTATATAGACTTGATGAATACACAAAAGAAGTTGAAAGATTGAACCAGCTAGCAAAGAGTGAGAATGATCAGACTTCTCATTTTTAAGATAAAATTAGGGGATTCAATGACTTGATTTAGAAACTTGATAATGATCTTAAATCAAAAGATAAACTTATAGTCAAGCTTTAGTGGAGTAAGGGAGAGATTAAAGACCAAATTTTTGAAAGAGACAAAGTTATTGAAGATTTAAGTAAAAGACTCAATGATCTTGAATAGAGAAATGGGATAATGGAAAAGGAGATGAAAGAAAATCTAGAATTAGTAGCATTAAGAGAAAGTTAATATGAGTCTAAAAAATAAGAATTATACAAATTATAGGAAGAATTCAAAAGGAAATGTGAAACTTTTGATACTCTAAGAGCAGTAGCTAAAGAGATTCAAAGGAAAAATGAAGAATTAGAAAAAGAAGTTTGGATGGGGAAGGGTGGTACTAAAGAAAGTGATCCTATTGGTGCTGAGGTACTATTAGATTAATTTTTATTTGGAAGTTAAAACCCTTATGCACTTTCAAACAATACAAAATTATCAGTCATATTAAGAGGAAAAGAGCTAAGAATCGGAAACTCTAGTCTTGAATAAAATTTGATCAAGGATGCTGATATGAAGAAAATTGAAACCGCTGATGAAAATGATATTAATAACATCATTCAAGCACCTCAAGATATTGGAGACAATTAGACAATAATAAATTTTAAGGATTTCCCACTCTACTCATACTTTTATGGTAGACCAAACTTCATAATATTCCTTGATCATCTGATAAGGGATCCTAGTGTGGTTTATACATAAAATGATCCTCCAAAGAAACTTAAATTTGATCCTCCATTTACATAATGGTTATTTGCAACTTGTAGAGCTATTCTAGACTCAAAGTATTTTGAGTATGTACTGTATGAGGATATAGGTTTCGCAAATGTTTCTAGACTAGCTGATTTTGCATATTCATGGCTTGGCTAGTTTAGAGTTGACGAAAGTACAAGATCTGTAAGAAAATTAGATTTTGAGGAGAGAGAAAGAGCAGATGAATACAGATTGCAATTTGCGATAGGTTTGCAAAGTGTTAAGGCTTCTAGAATGTGGGAATACTAGATATTTAATGATTTTTTACTAGAAAAAAACTCTCATGATGAGCTCTTTTTTTATTTACACTGTAGACAAATCTTGTTCAGAGGACCTTAATTGCTTGACAGTTCAAGTACTCATGAAAGAGTTTTCAACTTAGATATCAAGAGGATCTAAGGAGCGATGGATATAATTTTTAGTAAAACTCCTGTAATTGAAAGAGATCAAATGTTAAAACATATTAAGTCCATTTCTAATGACTATTAAACAATACTTTTATAGCAACAAGCAAAGAGAGATGAAAGAGCTAAACAAACGTTAGAAAAATTAATGAAAACTAGATAAGAGGAGGAGAAAAATGGAATTAACAAGAAGGAATTCGATGCTATTGATGTATAAATAGTACTTCGAATATTCTTGGAATATTATGTTAGAGAAAAAAAAGTAAGAGCCTGTATCTTAAAGAGGTTGTTTGAAGAGTAACCTAGACTTGGTACCAGTTCAAAAGCAGGAATAAGTTTTTTGTCCTTTAGGAAAGTAATGGAACAATACGATCCTGAAATGCTTGATTTAGATATTGCAACCATGTACAGAGATGCCTGGACAGCTGGAATAGGAGTTGTAAATTTTGACTCATTCTTTTTAACAGCTAATGAGAAATCTTTTTTCCTTAAGACAGTAAGATTCATGTCGTTTAATACACCACCTCAAATGAACTCCTATGAGGAATTCGACTTGGAGAATAAGTATAATTAAAAGCTAGACTATATATACAATCTGTGGAGGAAAGAGGAAAATATGTTTATAAACTTTAAAAAGAGGATGGAAGAAACTGGAAATGAACTGATGGTAGCTAAGTTTAACAAGCTTGAAGATCTGATAAGAAAAAAGAGTTAGCTTGATCTCAGTATGTATAGGGGTAGAGATTTGATTTAAATCTTTAGAAGGCTTTGGTAGTGGATGCTGTTCTATAGATCTAGCTACATGGAGGTTTATGAAAAGGAAGAAAATTGTAGCAATCATTTATCAGATTTAGATGTTATAAAATCTGAATTCTCAACCTATGGAATATTAGGGGAAAGGATATTCAGGGAAATAGCATTAGTTAAAGCTTAACAATTAAAAAGATCAAATCAAATCAAGAAGATACAAAAGATATATAGAGAGTAGAAGAACTAAGAATGGGAATAGCTTCAATAAAAATTATTTAGCTGAATATGAGGAAAATTAAAACTACAAATCTTTTTCCTGACGAATTCTCAATTTTACAAAAGTCTAATTTTTTTGGAAAATATTACTTTAATTTTTATTTCATTATATTCTGCGTAATCTACATTAATTTATCTCAAGGGGTTTTGGGGTTTTGGGGTTTTGGGG